CCCCAAAACCCCAAAACCCCATCATCCACCAAAAACACTAATACTATAGAAATATTGCCAAATATTAAATAAAATAACTTGCATTTATAAGTCAAATATATCAGGATTTTAAAATTGCATCCTTAATCTATAACTTGAAATCAGAATTGCTGTTTTTATATATTAATGACTACTAGATCTTAGTCATTAGCTGATTCTTAATTGCCGGTATATTCTTAGCATTAGCTTTATAAAGTTGCTTTACCATTATGGTAAAAGTAGGTATGATATTCATTGGTTTAATATCAATCTTGTCCAGATACTTGTAGTACTATGAAAATATCATTGGTATCATTTCTATACCATCTCCTTAAATGAATAGATCTAATCTACTCAGAAATAGTTATGTATAAGCTACAACTGTCTTTTGCATTATTTTGCACTAGAGTTTATAATCATTGAGAGTATCTATTATGTAATTGTAGAGTGGAATTATTTTGCTCTAATAAAATTCTTTAAATTGATTATTGAAGAAACTCAGAGTAAATTTTTGAAGTATGAATGTCATAAGATCGACATAAACAGCTAAGTGAATAATGCCTGAGTGAGTGTGATTGCCTAGTTTAAACTTTACAATCTCAATAAGATTGATGTAGTACTATGGATCTTCAGGGATAATATTTTTTCTTAAAAAGTCTAGAGTAAATTTGGCAAAAAGATAAGTAGCATCCTTTTACAAATGAGCCATATCTTCCAAATTCTGATGATTTTTTATATCAAACATTTGAAAAGTAATCTTGAAGATAAGTTAACACATTTAGTGTGGGAATACAAAGCTTTTCCTATTTCTATAGAGTATCTAGTAAAATTTGTAGTCAATATCTACCATATCACAATCTTCTTTCAAGAACTCCATAAGATTAGATTCCAATTAATAGATGTAAATACTATTAATTATTGCATCTATTTGATGTTTCTTTGTCAAATCTCCTTCTTAGTATTTATCTCTGAAATCAAATAAGAATTAAACAAAGAGTCTTTGATATTTGTGCTACTTAGTAGAAAACAGTAAAATTTGATAAACTTAGTCTTAAGCGATTAGTTTTTCTATTTCCTAAAAGATTTCTATCTCAGAGTATTAACTGATGCCCTATTTAAATCTGGATATCTAAAGAAATATCATTTCAAATTGATCTTCAGTTTAGTAGCAAAGTTCTTCTTATATTTAAATGCTTCTTTCTAAATTCTCCAAACTCATAAAACTCTCAAATTTAGCTAAATCATCAGAAGGCTTTTCCTCTGTGGTATTCTTAGAAATTAGTGATTATTTGTCGAATTTGAGTGCTTTAACTCTCTTCCTCATTTTTTTCACTTCACTAGAATCAGGTTCAGTATTTGCATATATGTCAGGCATTTCCAATAACTTTAGTGGATAAGTAGTATTCTGGCTGAAAACCTTTATAAAAATTTCTTCATTGGTTTAGACTTTCATTTCTTGAAATGTCACTACTGATAGTAATAGTCTAAAATAGTTAATAATTTAGTAATAATAATACTCAGGGTCACAATAAAGGGGATCTTTCTCAAACTCATCGATATAGGGTGGGTGCATAATTGGTGGCTAGACGATTCTCCTTGTTAAATTAAATTAAAAATATTTACTTTGGACGCCCTCTTTTTCTCAGAGGCATTGCTGAGTTTGAAATTTCTTATAAACTTGTCTCTTATTGTTATGGAGTATCATTGTTGTATTAAACTTGATTTAAGAAGTTGCTGTTATTGTTCAAAGATTTCATAATATATATCAGAATTGATTATAATTTAATTTTTGAGTTTAATTTAACCAACTGATTTCTGAATAACCTCTAATATCTATGGGGTTTTGGGGTTTTGGGGTTTTGGGG